TAACATTGTGCTATTAATCTGGCATTTGTAGACAAGAGGCATTGGATGAGTGTGACTAGTGTAAGAATCTCACTGGAAGGACTTGGACTGTGAGTGATAATGGGAATCACTGAAATCTTTGGGACTTGGTGACTGGTTCTAAGGGATTGAAGTGGGGAAATGAGTCAGAGATGACTCCAAGATAGCAACTGACAGAGCAACATCATCAAGTAAAGATTTTTTTTTCCCTTGTGCATGTTTGAAGGTACACCGGAAGTGACAGTGTAAAAGGTAGAACTTCAAGATAAACCAAAGGCCACTTTGCTGTGCTTTTACCTTTTTGTAGAGAGTAAATAACATTATCTGCAAAAGAGTGGGTATGAGCTTTGAAATGGCCTTGTGGGTGAATAACCCAATGACTATAGACTTGACAAGTAGTGTCCAAGGCAAATAGAGATATGATAGGAATACAGGGTAGGTCAGGCCAAGGCTGGTTCTTGTTCCTCAAGCAGAGATATGCAGCCTGGAAGCCAGAGTGAAAAGGCTGACTGTGGTTTTGGGGCTGGCCTGGGGGGTGGTGTAGGCTCCCTGCCTGGATGATGCTGAGCATCGAGAACCACAAGTCAGCAAGGGAGTGTAGAGTAGTAAGATGTTTTAAGTCCCTGACTTACCTATGATATTTCTGTAGATAGAAGAAATAAATGAGCAAATTAGAAAAGAGAAAGAGGAAGCTGAGGCTCGTATGCGACAGGCATCTAAGAATGCAGAGAAATCAACTGGCGGAGGTGGAAATGGCAGTAAACACTGGTCAGAAGATGATCTGCAATTACTAATTAAAGCTGTGAATCTCTTCCCTGCTGGAACAAATTCAAGGTACTCGTTCTAATGAAACTTCTCTTCAACACATACTGGAGCCTAGGGATAATGTAGACACCCAAATAGCAGCACATTACAGCAAACTTCCAGAGACGTGCTTCGACCTGGACACTAAGTTCTGTGCAAAGTGTGAAAAGCATTTTGAACCTGCTAGTCTTAGCAGCTTATACCAACACACATATGTATATCCATACATACATCAGGATGCTTCATCAATTTCTCAGGAAATTAAGGATCATAAGACATAAACCTTGACTCTCATGTTGGCTTAGTCCATTGTGGTTTATAGTAGGCACTAGGTTTTGTGCTCCATAGTTTCTCTTTCAGTCTTAATCCTTCTTTGCTGTTTCCGACCTCAAACTGGAGCTCACTGCAGAGTCTGAGCTGAGAACTCAAAGAAACCTTAGAGATCCAGCCTCCCTTATTCTGTATATGAGGAAACTAAGGTTCTCTTTTCAGAATGATCTGTCTCCTTAAGTATGTGTCCAAATGGCAGTATACACAAATGTGTGCTTTTATTTCTGTTGATTTTTACACAGAATCAATAAGGTTTTGTACAAACTTGAAACCAAGATTATACACAGTTGATTTAAACATATGAAAAGCAAAAAACATAGTTCAGGCAATAGTAATAATTAGATCACCAATTTAGAGCTAATTCTTTAGATGTTATAGCTAACCCTTCTGCATTAAAAATGTGGGATCATTCTGGGTTTTGTTTGGGGTTTTTCGTTATTTTTGTATCGGTTGCTCTAGATGGGAAGTTATTGCTAATTACATGAACATACATTCTTCTTCTGGAGTCAAGAGAACCGCCAAAGATGTTATTGGCAAAGCAAAGAGTCTTCAAAAACTTGGTGAGTTAGTTTTGCCAAATCAATTTTTTTGCTACCTTGAATACATATTTTAAAAATAATCTATGCAATTTAATGAAAGACTAAATGAGATGATCTGTATTAAAGTTTTTTCCCCTTTTCAGACCCTCATCAAAAAGATGACATAAACAGAAAGGCTTTTGATAAGTTTAAAAAAGAACACGGTGTGGTGTGTCAAGCAGACAATGCAACACCTTCAGAACGATTTGAAGGTAATGAAATTTTATTTTTCTATGAGTAGAAAATGCTAACCATGTATCTGTGTGAGAGTATACAAGATCTACGGTCTACATTCAGAGTGAATGGAATGGAAAGCATTTAGCAGACTGAAAGGTATAAAGCGGATGTTTTCAGGACAGTTTTACATCAGCACCATTGAGAATTACAGTTCTTCCATTTCATATGCCATGAGGGGAGGGGTTGTGTTTGTTTAGTTCACCAGATTTTACAAATCAGTATTAAAGGATATTGGGACAATTGAAATTTGAATAAGGTCTGTAGACTAGATAATTTTTTATCAAGGTTGATTTCCTGATTTTGAAAAATACACTATAAGGAAAGGTCCTTGTCTTTAAGGGAAGACAGGAGTAAAGGGGCAGCATGCCTGCAGCTTACGTGGCTCAGAACAAGTTAGTTATACAGACACAGTTTGTTGTGCTGACATGTCTTGGGTGTTCTAGTTAATTTGATTATTCTGGACCAGTAGGTTTCAAATGCAAATTATGACTCAGAGGTGGGTCATGAAATCAGTTTAATGGATCATGAATAGAAAATATCAGAGAGCATTACATAAGTGGGTATTTGTGAAACTTTTGTTCATGTGTATAAGTGTCTGAGATGTGACATTTTTTTCCTTAATGTGAGTTGCTGACAAAACTTTGAAAAGTTCTCTTTCACTACATGCATTTGTGAGCCACCAGTCCTTTTCTCCCTAAACTAAGCTAATCTTGGATATGCTTTCCAGATCACAGTGCCAAATATATGTTTTGGGATTAACTGACAGCCTTGACTCCTCAGGATGACCTGTCCCTGTCTTAACAGTCCCACTTTTCCTGTATTCTTGGTCTGGTTCATTATCCCAAAATTTCAATTTGAAAATACTAGGAGAGACTTACAATGTTCTATAAAGAGGAAAAAATCATTCTGTGTTTGCAAGTTGCATTTGCAAAATTGGGTGACTTTTGTCTAGGCTGGGCATTATTTTGGCTCTTTTCAGAACGATAAGTAACAAAGCAGAAATTTCAGAACACTTGGAAGGCACTTCTAAAGGAGGTAATTCTCTTGCCCCTTACGCCATCCACAAAAATCAGACACATTCAGATATTACTGCGTTATTCTCAGCCCTTTCTTGTGGGACTAGTTTCCGTGCTGGAGGCAGACACTGATGGTTGTGCTTTCTGGCAGATGGGTGACCCTGTGAGGGCAGGAGTGATATGGTACTTGGGCCTGACTCCTTTACCTCTTCTTATGGATTTAATGGGCAGGTCCCTCTCTCTTCAACTGCTCCAGTAAACAGCAAGCTGGCCACATTTTTTGGAATAGTGATTTCTCATAGGAATTTTATATGTTTCATTCATTTTGGTATTGGGAAGTCCCTGGATCATAACAGCAGATAATAAGCAGCAGATAATAATTATATGTCAGTTCCATCTTTTTTCCAAGAGAGAGGAAATGAATTAAATCTATGGTGTTAAATGGGGCTTCAAACTAATAAAAGGAAATTCCACTAAGGGGTTCCTGGAATTTTAAAAGCTGATTTCAAAAAAAGCTTCAGTCTTTAATCCGTCTTCAAATACAAGTTCTCTGCCTTGTTGTAAGGTGTGTTGTTTTTCAACTTGTTCACTGTGTCTATGAGTATGTTTTTAATTGGGAAATAACTTAGATTTCTAGGCTTTACTTTGTACCTGATCTCACAGGTTACAATTTCAAGAGGTAGTCTCACTGCTGGTAGGATAGGTGCCACTGTGTTTTCACTGCATGATCTGAAATAACTAAGCTGTCAGTAATCCATTAACTTAGAATAACCAAATCATTTTAACCATTTTCACATTTTCATTTTCCTACAGAAGTGGGATGTATACTTCTTGCATCTTAGGAAGGAATATATTTGTTTCTGATACATGTATGAGGTGTTCTATCAAACATAAAGGTCTGGTTTAGTAGAGATGCACAGCGTAGGCTCCACAATATTTTAGTGGACGTGGTGACAGTGACACACTGGAAATGGAATCTAATCTCACCTTGGCTGTACATCATTGAAACCATGGGAGCTTGGCTTAGCTTTGTTAAACTTGTTTCTTCCAGTGTAAAATGAGAATGGTTTCCAGGCTCTCATCGAGCTAAAAGTGTTTAAGTAGGAGGCAGCTCTTGAACTATGCTATAAGGAACTAGATTTATCAGAAATCTTAAATGACTTGTGGTTGTGGTTTCGAACCCAGAAGTCCAACTGTGTATGTTAAATCTGATTTTTTTTTAAAAAGTCTGGTGAATATAAGATTAGATTGTGATAGACCAGAAATACAAAGCATATTGTGCTTTAAAGTCTCATATTTTTCTGGGATGTGAGCTATCTAAAGTTTTTTCCCTAATTAATACCTAGAGGTATATATGTGCATCTAATTTGGTCTGTTCAAGATTGCACATCACAGATTCAAATGGGCACTTACCAAGATGTGTACCAAAAGACTCATCTGGGAAGGTGTTCCAGGACAGTTTTCTATCAATTAGAATAAAATTTTCCAAACAAAATTTTTTCTTAAACAGGTCCATGCACAGATTTCACCCCTTGGACAACAGAAGAACAGAAGCTTTTGGAACAAGCTTTGAAAACGTACCCAGTAAATACACCTGAAAGATGGGAAAAAATAGCAGAAGCAGTGCCTGGCAGGACAAAGAAGGACTGCATGAAACGATATAAGGTTGTAGATCTTTAGTGTGTAGATTCCATTATCAATCATTTAAATTATGTTTTTGTGCTTATTCAATACCACAGTAGTCGTGGGGCCAATATTAGAAGTAACCAACCTTAGAAACGTTCTAGCTCTGGTAGTTACTAAAAAAAAAATCAACCTTTTCAGTAGATTTACCCCAGTTTGGATGTTTTACATACTTATACCAAACACTAGAAATGTCTGCAAATTCTGACAACTTCTCGGTGTAAGTAACATCTTATTCCCTTCCTAGGAACTTGTCGAAATGGTAAAAGCAAAGAAAGCTGCTCAAGAACAAGTGCTGAACGCAAGTAGAGGCAAGAAATGACTTATGACAATCTTTGTTGTGTGTGCATTTTTATAATAAAACTGAAAATACTGTACAAAATTTTATTCTTAAAACTATACTTAAAGTGTGTTGTTCCAGTATAATTTCTCAGAGATCTACCATTCATTGTGGTGGTCTTATTCTTTCAAAGTCTGAGATAGTATTTCATTCATATTTACCAGTATAGATGTTCATTTTTTTTCTTTAGGACTTGCAGGTCTCGGTTTTATAAATATATATGTTCAAAATATGTTTATTAGGAGCATTTTAATCATGAAGCCAGCACATGTTACTGCAAATCTGTTTAAAATCTGGTAGCTGCTCAATGGGACCTAAGGATTAAAAGAAAGGACAGTTACAACTAAAGAGAAGGAAAGTCCTTAGCCAACTTTCTGCATAGGAGAAAAGGAGCCAGGCTTACCAACAGCAGCAACAGCTGGACTCTTATCATAAATATATTTGGTACACACTTCTCGAATTATCTCAGCATTTACAGCCTGAAAAATTGAAGACACAAGCATTCAGAGCTTTTTGTAGTAGTGAAGACATTCTATACCTGGGACATTTTAGAGCTAAAGCAAGATTTATGATGTGTATCTCCAGGTGTTGTAACAAGCATCATTTTACACAAGACCCAATAGTATCTAAGGACTACTTACATCAATTCTTGCTTCAAGCTCAGGGATGGGAATTCTTCGATTATAGCATAACATTTGCCTACCAATATCTTCACAGATGGGAGTGGAACCTGTATTAAAGAAAAGGGAAAACTAAGTACTGGAACGTAAGTCAACCATGTGAAAATAGGACTTATGTGTTTAATTCTTTTACCATCAAGTTGCAGCAACATGTTTGTTTTCAGAAGATTCTTGGCTCGTGCAACTTCACTTTCAGTGACACTTGTACAGAGTCGCATCCTAAAAACCATTTGGAAAAATCAAATGTCAAAGTAGTTTGAAAATGTTATACGTTTCATGAGTTAATGACCTAAAAGAAAGAAAGGATGCTATATTCTATGTATTACACCACAATGTACAAGTGATTATGATTTCAATTTAGTAAAAAGTTTAAATTACTAATGATCCCAACAGTTAAGCAAAAGTTAAAATATTACTGATTATTTTCCTGGTAGTGTTAATTTCTCAAAAATGATATGGTTAGCAGAGATTCAATACAATATAAAAATAGGCTGACTGCATTTTGAGAAATGCTACAGTCATTTTGAAAATTCATGAATCCCCATCTGATAGGATCTGACTTGTTAGGGGATAGATAGGTCAGTGGGTCATTGGTTTCTCAAAAGAAACCAGTTGAGTCTAACTTAAACCTAATAATTAATGATTACACTCCAACTAGACTTAGAGAGATGTAAGCCATTTAAGAATGGTGGAGGAAAGGGACCAGAGCTAAATAAAAGTTTTCCAAGAAGCTTTGGGCCCTTCTGCCTGTCTCAAGGTACTAGTTTTGACTAAAACACTACATTTTTCTTTTAGCAATGGCAACTTCAGGTTCATTTTCATAACGCAGCCTTTCCAAGCCAGATAACTTTTAGAAATATTTCCTAGAATTCTAGTTGGCATTTAAACATTTTTAACTTTTAAGATATTCTTTCTGAAGTAATCTGCTTCTTAATGATTAAGAATTTTCTATACTATAAATCAGCTTCACATGAAACTTAGAAGAAATATCTGTGATCTTCAAAAACACAGCAGTAACTGCTACTACCTAAGTCTTGTTCTCTTAATAAAATGCTAATAACATCACCATAAAAAATTAATCAGCATCAACAGTGTAAAAAGAAACTAGTCTAAAGTGGGAATTCTAAGCATGATTTAAATTTTTTCTCACCATTCTTTCTGAACAACATGTAGCATGTCTGCAACAGTGGCTGGTTCACAAACCATATAGATTCCCCATAATCCTGTATCTGTGTAGGAAGTGTTGAAAGACTGGAAGCTATGGCAGAGGTTGCCATGACAGGTGAGCTGGGCCAGCTTGCTAGATAAATTCTGTAAGGGAAAAAAACTGTCCAAGAGAACTGTAGGTATACGTGTCCAAATTACCAGAAAGAAAAATGAGATGTGAAAATCGTGACTGCCTTAAAAGGCTGAGTTTCTCAGTTTTATCCAGCAGTATCTCAATAATAAAGCAAAAATTCACTGAAACTAAGAATTATAGTAATCTCACCAGCCCAATGCATCATCCCCAGAGAAATTCATAATGTTAAAGCAGTGAATCCTTGTAATTAATTTAGTAGCTGCACCCACTTCTAAAATAATACATATTGATGGACCTAGAGATTATCATACTAAGTGAAGTCAGTGATATCACTTACATGTGGAATCTAAAAAAAAAAAAAAGATACAAATGAACTTATTTACAAAACAGAAACAGACTCACAGACTTTGAAAACAAACTCATGGTTACCAAAGGGGAAACGTGGTTGGGGGAGGGATAAATTAGGAGTTTGGGATTAACATATACACACTACTGTGTATAAAATAACCAACAAGGAACCTACTGTATAGAACAGGGAACTCTACTCAATATTCTGTAATAACCTAAATGGGAAAAGAGTTTGAAAAAGAATGGATATATATGTGTATATATAACTGAATCACTTAGCTGTACATATGAAACTAACACAACATTGTAAATCAACTATACTCCAATATAAAATTAAAATTAAAAGGAAAAATCCAATCAGGCCAAAATTAAAATTAAAAATGGGTTGACCTCACAGGTTGTAGTTCAGGTATGTTTACAGGGTCCCTTGGTCAATCCAGCCCAGCATTCCACTTCTAGCAGTGATTGATGTGAGATATGGTTATGACTTCTAATTCTGTGTTCCAGCTTTGTTTAATAATCATTTATAACCATATCAACCAAAAAACTGAATAACCCATGCCAATATGCTTTGCCAACAACAACAAAAATTTAAAGTAAAAATAATTAGCTATTATCAACCCAATTTGTAGAGCTTTGGGCTGTTTGCTTAAAAAATTGAAATTATATTGCATGTGAAGCCTAAGATACTTATATGAAATGTATTTTCTCAAAATCTTTGAGTATAAATATATACACTTTGTATTTTGAAGTAATTTCAGACTACAGACTAGTAGCATAAATAGTACAAAGAATTTCCTTTATCCAAATCCCTTAACACCTGTTACTTTACCATTTTTTTTTTTTGCTTTATCATTCTCTTTAACATATTTTTCAATTGTTTGAGAGTACAGTGCAGATATCCTTTTTACCCCTGAATACTTTTTAATGTGCACTTCCGAAAAACAAGGAAATTTACCTCAGTACAATTATTAAAATTAGGATATTAACACTGATATATTACTATTAACAAATCCTTCTATCCTTATTCAAAATTTGCCAGTATGGCAAAAGAAAAAAATTGTTTTTTTCTGGCCCAGGATGCAATCCAGGATCAGTTTATATTTTAAGTCAAAATTCATACTACGAAGTTTCATCTTCTCATTTATTATGGAAATTTACTTTTAAAATCACTTACCATTCCTCCTCCAAAAGAGCGATCCCAGTTGCCAATCAGTGTGTTTGCAACCATGAGACAGATTGTATCTGGATGTGCCCAACCAACAGCTTCAACAGCTATTGCAAGATGTGCCAAAGGCATCTTGTCATCCCTCACTCGAATCTAGTTAGGATAAAGGATACAAAGCTCTAGTTAAGATTACCACTATAAAACATGCTTAACAAGAAACAAACTCACCAGCTCCATTAACTGCAAAGTTAAAATGCTCACCATGACACTCCTTTGTTTTTTAAACAATTAGGCCTCATTACACTGTATAGTCTAGAAGAATTTCACCAAAAGATCTCCACTTGAAATAATCCAGACACAGCCACCAGATAATTACCTGGTCAAAAAGCGATGCATTATTTCACTGGTAGAAATAATCTTTTGTCAGTCTGAATTTTTCTGACTCTCTAAATTTAAGCTAATCTTGACATAACAGGCTTATTTTTGTACTGCCAATGCTACAGTCTTATGCAATTGCCAACATCAGGCTTCTTTCCAGATACAACTATATGAGCATCATCCCTAATGTGGCAAACTAAGCTTCTAATGAGGCTTAAAGATACAGCTGACATGTAGCAGGTTCTCTACAAGTTCTGGCTTTAACAGCTACCCCCCAGAAATGTACTGTGGGCAGAACTTAGCCAAGAATAAACCTGATTAAAAGTCAAAATTTGAGGTGTTTTTAAAATAAAAGATTAACTTTTATGCCCTACAATAGGAAAATGGGCATAGTATCAAACAAAAAGCACAAAAAAACCAAATTATATTTTCCTTAAAACCTTACTTCCTTAGGAAAGAAAAATAGGTGGTTAAATATATGGAACAGGAAAGAATATGAACAACTGAGTCCATCCTCGGCTGGACTCCTTTGGCTTCTTCCATTTTACTGTTAGAAACAGGCACATTTGCTACACACATTCATAAATACAACACAAGAAACCCAAAGGGTTAAACACTAGCTTAGGAGGCTTGCCCTACCTCACTTCCTGTGAATTTGCAGGGAGGCAGAGCTGGTATTTCTCCTTTGTGTGTGGACAAAGAGTCACCAAAATGAAACTTTGCTAACTCAAGCAGTTCATCATGGGAAACCCCTAAATTGAAGGAAAATACGTTATATATCCAGTAGCAGTGCAATGTAAAGCACACAACGAACTGCCAATACTTCTGTTTACAATAAGCTCAAGGTGGTATAATGTGATACAGGTTACACATGGACTACTTGCTCTGACTAAAAGCCTTTTTAAGAGTAAGCTCACAGAGCACACTCTTTCCCTTGTTATAAGGCTTGGGGCTGCACAGCTTTCTCATTCTGAAGAACCATCACAGTTTTCATAACATACCAATGGATTCACAGATAAGGATAATAAGATAGCTTGAAAATACCATTTTCCATGCAGAATCATGTTATATTGAATAATTAAAACTCCTAGAATGCAAACTAGCAAGGAAAAGTCACCTTTCAATAAATTTTTTAAAGTAGAAAAGAATAACTATCATTTAAAGAAAGCTGGACACAAGATACGCTTCATTCTCTGTGCTCTGCTATCAAAATACAGGAACAAAATAACCTCATACAAATTTCTGAATAAATTCATAGCTATTCAAACACTCACTACTTGCCATCCAAAACTTAAGAGTTACTTAGATTCTATATCCCTTATTTTCCAAACTTGGGATCCAAACAGATTCAGTCAGTGAGAGATTCCTAAACTTACAAGACAAATTTAAACATGGGTAAGTGCCTTAAAAAATACCACAAGATTTTTTTTTTAATGAAACATTCTATTAGAACATAAAAGCACAACTTACACCCATATTTCCAAACAAATCTCTGGTATAAAACAAGACAGTGAATGATTACACACGTTTTCACAATCACTATGTAGGAGAGCCGCCTTAGATATCAATCCAGAGGGTGACAAAACAATAGGAAGACCCTGGTGATACAAGGATGACAAGCAGAGAGTGCAGAACCATGAACAGGCACACAGTTCTCAGCACTTAACAACCACTTCCACTGTTTTACTACCTTCACCTATAGCCCTCCTGGTTGGATGTTCCAGATATTCAGCTCCTGCCCCAGCACCACCTCTGCTTACTTCTATCCAAAAGGCAGGGGAGCCGGTAAATTTTATTTTTTTTAAATCAAGCTAACTCTGGCCTATTTCACTGAAGATGCCACTGTTGATAAGAAATATCATCACTTATGTATCAATAAGACAAAATGCTAATTAATCTAGGATAGGCCATTAATTAATTGTAAGATATCCCAACTCTGGTGATGTCAAAATGAACCAATGAACTATGATAAAACCCACTGCATCCATATGCCACCAACAATGGCAGAGACATTCCTGACAGCTTAGCTGCTGAGGCCCCATCCAACCAATAGTGTTCCCCTTTCCAAGGCAGTTTCAACTGTTGAACGCCAGCCATTTTAGAAACAATGTTACTAACTCAAGATAACTTCAGAGCACACTTATCTGCCACACAAAGGCAACATGTTTTAAGATATTTAACCCTCATTTTCATCTTCTCCATTATTCCCAAGTAATGAGCCTAAAGTCTATCCAGGGCAACTAGAATTTTAATTTATTGTCATTTCTAAAGAGAGAAAAATTTACACAAAAGAACATTCCATGTATCTTCACTTTGTCCTAAAAAGAGAAAGAGAACACAAAACTGGAAACCAATAAAATGTACAATTTGCCTAAATTCAGATTACCAGGAAATCTAGCAAAATCTAATGTGAATTTTCTTTCATTCACTGGCTTCAAACATGTTCTCACAAGGAAGCCTTGTCCTGATGCCACTTGCATGTTCAGATTCCCATTAAATATTCTCCTAATCCCCTATATACTTCCCCTTTTCAGTAACTAGCAGATCTTACTGAAAGAACGAACAAATCAAAGAATGAATAAACAACGTAACATACTCATACCACGCCTGACCAAGGATGAAGCTGGTTCTCAAGAAAATTAAAATCTCAAGAGATTCCCAAACCGTAGAACACCATCTTCCAAGTCTCATTATCTCCCAGTTCACTCATTTGCCCTTTTCTTACAAGGAAATTCCATTATGTGTGCACACTTACATATTGGAGGGTCACTACATTTTCCCACTGAAAAACTCTATTGGGCTTCCCTGGTGGCCAGTGGTTAAGAATCCGCCTGCCAACGCAGGGGACACGGGTTTGCGCCCTGGTCCGGGAAGATCCCATATGTTGAAGAGCAACTAAGCCCGTGTGCCACAACTACTGAGCCGGCGCTCTGGAGCCCGCGAGCCACAACTACTGAGCCTGCGTGCCTAGAGCCCATGCTCCGCAACAAGAGAAGCCACCGCAATGAGAAACCCGTACACTGCAACGAAGAGTGGCCCCCGCTCGCCGCAACGAGAGGAAGCCCGCGTGCAGCAACTAAGACCCAACACAGCCAAAAATAAATAAAAATTAAAAGAAAAAACTCTACTAAAGGGAAGACAGAGGAAAAGTCTGGTTCCAGGGCTCCATACTGCCCTTACCCAGCACATGTAACAATCTGCTCTCTAAATAAAACCTCTAAAGACATCTGCCAATAGGATCAAACTGATAAGTACATCACTCTGTGTTTAAAACAGTCACAGAAACTTAAACTAACCTCCAGCAGCAGCAAGTACTATTCTTGGCCCCTTATAATGTGTGGTTATATAATCCACTAAGTCCTTACGATTTATAGACCTGTAAGTGGAGTAAGAAAAGCAATATTAAAAGGAAATTTAAAAGCACAGATCCTCACATAATGTACCTGAAATTAAATTGGACCTTAAAGGTATTCTAAGTTAAATGCAGTCAGAAATAGGATATATGCAACAAGTATCAAAGTATATATCAAAAAAAAAAAAAGATTTAATACCATCACTTGTTTATTCCAGAAGTAGCTACAAACCCAGACACCTGGGAGTTAGGTGGGGCTAAAGTGTAGCTTAAGTACAATTTCATTCAGATTACTGGGGGTAAAAAATTACTTTCTGAAACATACTTTTTGAATGTGAATGTTAATTTTCACAATTCAAATTTTTTCTCAAAAAAAAAAAATCTGAGAATTATACCTACTTGATATTTTCAGTTGGTCCCAAAATTGTCCGTCCAAGTGCAGTATTTTGATAAGCTGTGGCATGAAGATAATCAAAAACAACTTCTTGTAAATTGGTTTCAACTTCCTGCATCTCTCTAAGGATTACTCCACGTTCACGTTCAATCTCTGCTTCTCCCAATGTGCTGTTTTGTATTATATCAGCAAGAATTTCTACAGCTTATTGAAAATAAAACACAAGAAGAAACACTAAAATCTTAAATTTTCACTATTTAAAATCTATTAAATTAGCATCAGAAACAATGATAGTGACCATCACTCAATATTGACTAAATGATTAAACTGAGAAGAAATAAATGTTTCTATAATTTGATATACCTAGAAGGACTAAATTAAAATGAGAAATGCAATCCCCTGTGGTACAGATGAACTTGAAGAAGACTAAATTTGCCAGAAGTCCCCACAAGACTTGTAAAATGACTGCCTACAACCACTTCAGAACGGTCATGGAAATCTGCATATAACTGTATATTGTTCTCTGTGACAATGGTAAGGAGAAAATTATCTATCTACTCAGAGCACACAGGTACACACAGAGAGCCGACATCACCCAAATAGTTACTACCCAAGATCCCACAGCAACGAGGCTACTATATTAAGAAGCCAAGAACCATCGTAATCTAATATATACCCCCAATGAACCACTTACAGAATTAGTGTCCTCTCAAATATCTTTCCCCACTTAACTCCAGTTAATGGTCAATGTTGGTTAGATTCTGGTCAATGTTGGTTAGATTCTGACCATTAATTAGTAAAGTCACTGATAAATGATGATCCAACAGAGCTGGAGCAGTTAACATTTGAAAAAAAGGATAGGTACCCTAAAAGAGATAACATGACTATCAAAGGATTAAAAGTTACCCTTGGAAAAACTGATAAAACCCTCAAGTATTTATACAAAAATGACCCTAATTTGCAAAAAGCCACAAGTGAACTAAAGGATTTATCATGCTATTAAGCAATTTTATCAGAAAAAGTACATACTTCTCCAAAAAAGGAAAACCTAAACTATCCTTGAAGAATTAGTATATAGTTGCAATCACAATCTAAATTTTAGTCAATATAAAACAAATTTATAAACTTTAGTTTCATTTTGTTACTCTGCTGTAAATTTCTGTTCCTTGTTTTAAGTTCACTTTAAGGTGACTTGTCTCAGAAGCAATAATGTTCAAATACCAAGGACCTCCTGTAATTAATTACCTCTACAGACTACCCAACATGACAAAACAGACTGCTAGAATAGGCTGGGACCGAGATCCTGGGCAAAAAGAAAAAATTATCTGTAAAACCATCTCTCTAACACAATGTTGTAAATCAACTATGCTCCAATAAAATTTAAAAACAAAAACAAACAAAAAAAACCTATCTGTCCCGACAAGAGAAATAAAGGCCCAGGTGGGTAAGGAAGAGCCCAAAGACAGGTGGGAGGACAAGGGATCCTGTGTGAAGACCCCCCTTTATGTGGAAGTAGTAGTCTAGATTGGTACCTTCTAAAGTGGGGATTCATATTTCCCAATATTTATGTTTTACTCAGAATCTCCTCTCTTTCTAATGTATATGTAACACTGTATATATTAGTACAGCAGTACATGTATTTAATTTATACATATACCTATATTGAGGATATACGTTCAAGTCTCTTACTGATAAGAATGGATGATCATAAAAGTTTGAAGACCACTTGTCTAAGCATCTAATTATTACCTCACACACCAGGTTTCACCCAACTGAGAGTATAAAAGCCTCAAGCAAATTCCCAAAGTGGGATCTGCCTCAGAGAGCACTTCCATTTTGGATTCCTCAAAGAGCGCCTCTCTTTTCCATTTCCACTCCCACTAACAGGGACTCTGTCCTTCCCAGCCAGAAGCCAGAAAGAAAAAAAAAAAGGTCTTCTAAATTCTCTCTTCCTTTCTCTAGTCCTCTTTTTTGCTTTCTTTGCTGTTCTCTGTGTAAATAAAGGAGAGAAACAGGCTAGAATCAACAGTCCTTTAAAGTAGCCTGGCCTAGCCCTTTGTTCTTAGTGCCTAACTAGTCCTGGGGCAAAAACTATTTCTACGGAAATCATTAAGAATCTAACCAATGTTTTTTGCAATTCAAACTAACACACCCTCCACTGTTTTCATTTTCATTGGTTTTAATGCACAAGTTAGGCTACCATGTTATGAAAATTTTACTTTATTTATTTGCAGGTGGTAGGTGTTTTGTTTTGTTGTTTTGACAAAGCAACCGGACACAGTGAATCTGAGTGAGAAGACACGCATTTGAGTCCACAGTAAGCCACTAAGTTATGTGATCCGGGGAAAGTCACAGTCTGGGCTGCGCCTCAATTTCCACAACTGCACAGTGGAGACACTTATCTGATTACTATGCTGATCAAATGAGATGATATATACACAAATTACATATATACAAAGGTACTTGTGTAAAGTGGCATTCAAACATTATTAATGAAAGCCTATTAGGAATCCAAAATTTCAAAGTAATGAAATTAACTACAACTATACAAGGACCTTAAAGATTAATAGTCTCACCAATTAGCACTAAAACTGCTACATTTTTTCATTAATTCTCCTACTGGGAAAATGTTTTGTGTAATAACTTTCCCTTAAGATATCCAAAACACTCTACAACATGGTAACTACAAAAAATAGTTATGCTGTCAGAATAATTATTTTACTTCTACAAAATAAAAATAAAATCTATTTTATTTTATTGCTATGAAAACAATCATCAATAATCTTTTAAGTGAACACTTGCTTATTCTGCTTCAGAGTTTTTGTAACAAAAAAGGAATAAAAAAATTGCTCCTAGTCAGAGCAATTAGGCAAGAAAAAGAAATCAAAGGCATCCAAATTGGAAAGGAAGAAGTAAAACTATCACTATTTGCAGATGACATGATATTACATATAAAAAACACTAAAGACTCCATCAAATAAACTGTTAGGACTAATAAACGAATTCAGTGAAGCTGTAGGATACAAAGTCAATAAGCAAAAATCTGTTATGTTCCTATACACTAATAATGAACTATCAGCAAGAGAAAATAAGAAGTAATCCCATTTACAATTGCATCAAAAGGAATAAAATACTTAGGAATAAATTTAATCGAGGAAAACTACAAGACATTAATGAAAGAAAACAACACAAGGAAATGGAAAGATAGTCCACACTCATGGATTAGAAGAATTAATGTTGTTAAAATGTCCAAGCTACCAAAAGCAATATACAGACTCAATGCAATCCCTATCAAAATTCCAATGGCAGGCTTCCCTGGTGGCACAGTGGTTGAGAGTCTGCCTGCTGATGCAGGGGACACGGGTTCATGCCCCGGTCCGGGAAGATCCCACATGCCGCGGAGCGGCTGGGCCCATGAGCCATGGCCGCTGAGCCTGCGCGTCCGGAGCCTGTGCTCCGCAACGGGAGAGGCCACAACAGTGAGAGGCCCGCGTACCGCAAAAAAAAAAAAAAATTCCAATGGCATTTTTCACAGAAATATAATGAACAATCCTAAAATTTGTATGGAACCACAAAAGACCCCAAATAGCCAAAGCAATCTTGAGAAAGAAGAACAAAGCTGAAAGCATCATGCTCCCTGATTTCAAACATTACAAAGAACAGTAATCAAATCAGTATGATACATAAAACCAGGTACTGAATCAGTGGAACACAACAGAGAGCCCAGAATAAACCCAAGCATATATGATCAATTAATTTACAACAAAGATCCAAAAATATACAACAAGGAAAGGATAGTCTCTTCAATAAATGGTGTGGGAAAATCGGCCACATGGAAAAGAATGAAATTGGACACCTATTATACACAAAAATTAACTCAAAATTAATTAAAGGCTTGAACAGAAGGCCTGAAACCATAAAACTGCTAGAAGAAAACTGAGGAAGTAGTAAGCTCCTTGACATAAGTCTTGGTGATGATTTTTTGAACCTGACATCAAAAGCAAAAATGAACAAGTAGAACTACATCAAACTAAAAAGCTTCTGCACATCAACAAAATGAAAATGCAACCTCCTGAATGGAAGACGATATTTGCAAATCATATATCTGATAAGGGGCGAATATACAAAATATATGAAGAACCCACAGAAACCAACAGGAAGAAAACAAACAATCAGATTAAAAGATGGGCAGAAGATCTAAATAAACATTTTTCCAAAGAAGACACACAGATGGCCAACAGGTACATGAAAAGATTCTCAACATCATTAATCATCAGGAAAGTGCAAATCAAAATGACAATGAGATATCACCCCATAACTGTCAGAATGGCTACTATCAAAAAGACTAGAGACAAGGGTTAGCAAGGATGTGGAGAAAAGGAAACCCTTTTACACTGTTGGTGGGAATGTAAACTGGTGCAGCCACGATAGAAAACAACATGGAATTTCCTTAAAAAATTAAAAATAGAACTACCATACAATCCAGCAATTCCACTTCTGCACATTTATCCAAAGAAACAAAAACACTAACTTGAAAAGGCCTACCTCTGTGTTCACTGCATTATGTACAACAGCCAAGATACGGAAACAAGCTAGGTGTTCATCAATGAGTGAATGGATAAAGAAGTTGTGATACACAAATACACACTCACATACAAAGAGTATGTGAGTAATTTTAATTACTCAGCCATAAAAAAGAATGAAATCTTGCCACTTGCAATGGCGTGGATGAACTTCAATGGCATTATGCTAAGCGAAAAAGTCAGACAGAGAAATAACAAATATCATATGATCTCTCTTATATGTGGGGAAAAAAAAGTCGAAAACAAAAAAACACCCAAGCTCATAGATACAGAGAACAGACTGATCATTGCTGGGGCGGGGGGTGGGGGATCGGTGATCTGTATTGGGTTTTTGTGGGGTTTTTTAGTTTAAATAAATTGAATTTTGAAAAAAATTAATGGAAAGGACAGTAAGAAAGAAGTGCACTCCAGGATGAGGAACCAGAATGTGCAAATGCAATAAAGAAGCAAGCAAGTTTTGTTCAAAAACAAAGCCCAGCAGTCAGTAGATAGAAAATCTGTTCTGACTTGTAGAAATAAAATATTCAGATAACAGGATAGAGAAAAAAACAAAACAAAAAGTAGGCAGTAAAAGTAAACAAATAATAAAACAATTAAAAATAGTTCACTACACAGGTATGGCTCTGGAGGAAGTAATATTTGAATCAAGTGTTAGGGCCTGGTTTGCACAAGTCCTGCAGCCTACAAATATTTTTATCGTTTCTCATATTTGGAGGAAAAAATAAAAACAGGTGCCCCCTCAATCAAAGTCTGGTTCATTTTTTTCATTTTCTTTCTCAACAAACATAATGTAAACAGCACTAAATCATTTCTGAATTCCTGTGGAAATTACATATCTGCAGTATAAATAATAACAATACCTCTTGGCAAATCTTTAGAGAATGCTTTGGCATAATATACAGTCTGCTCCCTGGAAGTATAGGCGTTGAGATGAGCACCCATGTTTTCAATCTCAAGTTCCAGATCTAACTGGGATCTCTTTTTGGTGCCCTGAAATAAAAGAGGAAAAAAAAAATTATGACCTCTTCCTTTATCCCTCATCTGCTCTAAACACTTCAGACAATGAATATGAGGACATAAGCCTATGTAAGGACCAAATTTGGTTTCTAAAGTACATCAGGCTTCAGAAATAGTGGCGTATGTTCAAATGACCCTTACATCCCAAGAGAAAATCCTTGTTTCGCTCTACAGAGCAATTATCAGTAATTATTTCAGGTAATTATCCTGAAAAAAAGATTTTAAAAGTAAAACATGCTATACTATTATAGTTCTCCTTACCTGAGAATGAGATTGTGTTTACTGCCTCTTAAAGAAAATGCATTAAAAAAAAAAGTCTTACAACTTGCCTTGAAAGCCATATGCTCCAGAAAGTGAGCTGTTCCATTATTCTTCTCATTTTCATATCTACTTCCAGCATCAATCCAGAGCCCAACCTTAATGCAATCAAGTAAGAATTAAATAAGACAACATCTTCTTTTGAGGGGACGGGGTAGGGGTAGGGGGCAGTCTTCTTCCTTTTTCTGACAAATGCTTTCCAGCCTTAACATTAAAGTCTTCTTGAGTGGACTGACAGTAAGGTCCTATGAACTGAGATTTAAAATTTTTGGTCATCAGGCTACTGCTGGGTGCCACAAATACCTACTTGCCAGCTTTACTGAGGACCCAGAGTCTTAGCCCAATGTGTTACTACACTCAATTAACAAGTATAGTGTAAAGAACATCAGAGACTGTCAGAAAATCTAGGTTCAAATCCTGGTTCTGTCATGTATTAGCTGTGTGACCTTGGACAAAACCATTTAACTTCTCTGATCTTGTTTTTCAACTGTAAAATGGATATGATGATCCCTGCTACAAAGAACTATTTTGAAGATCAAATAAGACAATATATGTAAAAACATTTGGCACAGAGTAGTCCAGCAAATATATCTCTCTCATTATTATCAACACTACATGACACAACAGGCTACAAGAACCAGATGTAGACACTCGTGTGGTATGGAAGTATCACAGGAAGAGATTCACAAGTGACAGTCACTTGTCAAGGCAAAATAATTGCTGCTACTTTCAACCACCTGCCAACCAACTGAAAAGCTTAAATTAAAATCAACAGTTTGCTCTCTTGCCTAATGAGGGGTCAAACTAAATCACTTACTGTGCATGTTGAGAGCCCAGAGTCTTCAGAGGCCACTCTGAGTCCATTCTCCAAACAGGTTACGTGAGTTTCAGGGACATTCAGAACAACTTGTGTAGCAGCCTGTGTACTTCTCAATCTGTTTCCTCCAAAATATAGTGACTGGTTGGGGATGGAGGGAAGAAGCAAAACATATCACTATTCTAATATGAAATGTTGATTAGAAAACCAAATCTATCCCAAAGAGACTCTATAAAGTACTCTTTCCTCCTTAACTTTTATTCCACTGAGACCCACCCCTTGGCTGGCCTATGTTGAGAACATTCCTCAACCAACCACTTTCCTAAAGCCAGCAACATGTCTACATATGCCCTTTCCTTACGGCAAATAAACAGTTATGATAATTATCCTGAAAGAAACTACTTTTATCTCAATACTTCTCCTAGAAATGTTTAATATTCACCATAGAGGGCAGAAGCGGGGGTTGGTGAATGGGGAAAGCCAAGAAAGGGAGCGAAAAATATAAAAATACCCATACACAACGTAGAAATGCTTAAGGTTTCCACCGTTTAAGAAAAGCAGTTTTTAAAAAGCCAGAAAAAGAGAAGGCAGGAAGAAGGGCAGGTGCTCAAGATATACTCTGGCTGACTGACTTGTTGCCTATGGACTATTCGCCCGTCCCCATCTTTTCTTTTCCTCTAGACAAAGCTAGTCTTGCACGAGAAATATACATATACAGACAAACTTTTCCTTTAGCTACCCCCTGGTTCACGGGAAGCAGAGTTGATGATGAAGACGATAAGTTTTAAGAAAAAAGAGAACTCGGGGCGGGCGGGGTGGGGTCCTCACTTTTTAATTTCCCCCAATGGCAACCACTGCGATTTTAGTGATCAACACGCACTCTTCATAATGACTCCCGAGTGACTAGGGCAGGGGGTCGGTAAACCAGGGTCATGCCAGACGTCACTGGCGGGTCACGCGCTGCGGGGTACCAAAGCCAGACCAGCGCCGGCGGGAGATAAGCGTCCCCGGACGCCTGATGCCCCACGAGTCCCGGCTGGGAAGGCCCGACCCGCCGTTGGGGGGGCGGGGTGTGGATCCGACGCCCGCGGCCCGGCCGGGCGCCCGACACTCAGGCTCGCCGCGCGGAGTTCTGCGGGAGAGGCCCGGCCTAGCCTGGTCCCGGCGGCACCCAAACAAGTGGAGGGAAGCTCACCCGCCCGGCAGCACCTCCGGCCAGGAGCCTCTCGGTGAAACCGCAGAGCCTCCGCCGCACCGCAGGGAACAGCGCCGCTCGGGCCGCCGCCGCCATCATCTTCCCTCGGGCCTGTGCGAAGGATGTGCTTCCGGGATCGTGACCTGAGGTCCCAGACGAGAGGGCGGGCCCCACCAAGTGGCCATGATGGGAATGACCTCCTCTAAGCAGTCGTGGAAGGAATGGACCTGGAGGTGGTGCGAGCAGTCTAATAACGCGAATTAAGGAGTCTGTAGAAGCCCCTGTATCAGCAGTTACTTCAATCGCCTACGACGTGCAAGGCACAAAAGTAGAAGAATGAAAGGTAACGTGGTACAACATATTATCCCATTGGTGGCCGAAATTGATTGGAAAAAGGGGAATATGATCCATAACTCATTGTCCTTAGAGGAAGCCTTAGTGGAAGAGAGAGGGGCCGTGAGGAGAGGGAAGAAAGTATCAGTGTTGACCCCTACTCACTTTTCAACACTTTACGGTCTGGCTCATTCCATTCCATAGAAATTGCTCTTGGTGAAACCACGAATTGCTGAAAGATGGACACTTTATAGACCTTCTGGTACCGTCCTCTTGGCTGAGTTTGACGTGGTAAATCTCTGTGAAATTGTCTTTCCTCATTGCACCTTAAGAGCTCCTCCTCCTTCTCCTAGTCCCTTCTTCACCTTCTTGGACAGCTCTTTATTCACAGATCTCAGTGAAACTAAACATCGCAAGCATTGTTCTAAGTGTGCTATTCAATATGCTCATTTTACAGATGCAGAAACTGGGGTAAATAACTTCCCTGAGGTCAGGACACTAATAACAGGCGGTGTGGCTCCAAAGCCTTTGCACTTAAGCACCACACCATTTTGCCCTGAACGTTGCTGTTCCCCAGGGTTCTGGACCTGGGCCTGGGCCTCTTCTACTGCACACTCTCCCTGATGGTTTCCACTTTCACCTGAGGCCTTTCCTGTCTACCCAACCAGGCCTCTCTCTTGAGCTCCAGGCCCCCTTAACCACTCAGTGACTAGACAACTACACTTGAGTATCCCATTGGCACCTCAATATCAACTTGTCCAAAATGTGTTTCACTGTCTTGCCCAGGAATCTATTCCTGTATATTCAATGCAAAACAGCAAATGTTACCTCCATTCAGCAGACATCCAAACCAGAAACCCAGTTTCACCCTCAGCTCCTCCCTTTTCCCCCACTCTCAACATCCAATTGATACACCCCTTTCCTGCCTCTTGAATCCACTGCAGCCCCACTGTCATAGTTTTTGGCCCAAGGGATCTTTTTTTTTTTTTTTTTTTTTGCTGTACGCGGGCCTCTCACTGTTGTGGCCTGTCCCGTTGCGGAGCACAGGCTCCGGATGCGCGGGCTCAGCGGCCATGGCTCACAGGCCCAGCTGCTCCACGGCATGTGGGATCTTCCCGGACCGGGGCATGAACCCGTGTCCCCTGCATCGGCAGGCGGACTCTCAACCACTGCGCCGCCAGGGAAGCCCAAGGGATCTTTTCAGAATGCAGCTTTTAGTATGATAGTACCATTATGAAGAACCCCCCAGTAATTTCCCTTGGTCAGGATAAAGTGAAGCCTCCTTAGTATGGAAGATAGGTCCCTCCATGAGCTGACTCCTACTTACCTTTCCAGCCTCGTCTCTCTCCACATCTCCCTTCTGCTATGAACCACAGGTTCAGCCCACAGGATCTATTATATAATGAGGACAACCAAGGTTATCCCTTCAGGTTTCTAAAACACATGTGTGTTAACATTAATAAAGAAATACAAACATCATACATATATACAAAAATATTTAGGTATAATCACAGGAAGCACCTGGGAAATTTTAGCACATCTTAATTCAAACTTAGTTTAACACGTCAGGGAAAATGACAGAATAAAACCTCTGAAAATCCTCCCTTCTTTTAATAAAATAAATGAGAAAACTGGTTTTAAAAATGGCCAGAATCTGGGACTTCCCTGGCGGTCCAGTGGTTAAGACTCCATGCTTCCACTGCAAGGGGCATGGGTTCGATCCCAGGTCAGGGAATGAAGATCCCACGTACCATGTGGCGTGGCCAAAATAAAAATGGCCAGAATCAACATTTTCAAAACTCTGGAAATGAAACAAGTCTTGCAGTAATCTGGGGAGTTTTTCCCCCCCTCATAAAAACACCTAAATTGCAATAAGCAAAGGGAGCTTTATAGTGCTTTATAGTGTTTAAACTTATAGTGTTTAACTCTATCCTTAACCCCTTCCTCCTAACTCCATGGTAGCCTCGAAAACCAGGATCCCACAGCCAAGATGAAAATCGGCAGCCACCAGAGGGGGCAAAATTGGGCTGGAGTTCCTTCAAGGCCTCAAATCCAGAGAATTGGAATTATTTGACCTGTCTCATGCTTCCCTGGATGATCTCACTTGCAAGGTTGCCTTTATTTAACCTGACTCAAAGCAAAAAGCCTTTTTCTGGGGATGTTTGTCAAAAATATTTAGAGGCGGTTATCTAACTTTGGGTGGTTGCCTGGAGGTAGTAGATAAGAGTAAGGGCAAACAATAGGCAAACCAAGAAGCTTAAAAGGAAAAGCTAGGGCCTGAGCTGTCTCTACAGGATACCTCTTTTTATTGCGCTTTGCTTTTTTGTGCTTCACAGATATTCTGTCTTTTACAAATTGAAGTTTTGTGGCAACCCTATTAGAACCATTTTCCCAACAGCATTTGCTCACTCCGTGTCTCTGTGTCACATTTTGGTAATTCTGACAATAGTCCAAACTTTTTTCATTATTATTATATTTGTTATGATGATCTGTGATGTCAGAGATCTTGAATGTTACTAAGGGCCACATGATGGGTAGCAATTTTTAGCAAGAGATAACTTTTAAATTAAGGTCTGTACATTGTTTTATTAGACATAATGCTGCTGCACACTTAATAGACTATAGTATAGTATAAATGTAACTTTTATATGCAGTGAGAAACTGAAAAATTCATGCAGCTCACTTTATTGTAATATTCACTTTATTGTGGTGGTCTGGAACTGAACCTGTAATATATCTGAGGTATACCTATAGAGACTTTGAAAAGCCCAGATGTATTCCTGGGAATCTGGAAGGCCATGTACATGTATATGACTGTGTGCATACCCAGGGCTGTACACATACCCAGGAAAGACAGGAGAAGGCCCTAAACCCTCCCACAACACTGACCTTGAGGCTCTGTGCAAGCAGGAAGTGAAGGCTAAGGCACAGTTGTCAACTGTCTGGCTAAGTGTTGAAGGTATACCATACACAGAGCTCCTCAACAACAACTGAGAAGTTCATTGGTTCTAGGCACTTATGGAAGTATCTGTATAATCATTAGCTGACCATTAAGCTAGTTGAGCAGAGACTTCAGTGGTAACACATGACGTTAAGGAATTTACTTAGAAAAGTCACTAAACAAACAAAAGCAAACAGCAACAACAAAGTCTGGGAGGGGGTGGAATCTGATATTCAGAATTGACACATTATATTATTTTAAATGTCCAGTTCTTAACAAAAAAATTACAAGACATTCAAAGAACTAAGAAAATATGGTCATGCACAGGGAAAAAAATCAATAGAAAATGTCCTTGAGGAAGCCAAGACATTGGACTTAAAAGACAAAAACTTTTTAAAATAAGCTGTTTTTAAAATGTTCACAAAACTAAAGGAAACAATGTCTAAAAAACTAAAGGAAGGTATGAGAATTATGTCTCATCAAATACAGGATATCAATAAAGGGATAGTAATTATTTTTAAATCAAAATCCTGGAATTAAAAAGTACAATAAATGAAATGAAAAATTCACTGAAAGGGCTCAACAGCAGATATGAACAGGTAGAAGAAAGAACCAGAAAATGTGAAGATAGATCAACTGAGATTAACAGTCTGTGGGTTTAAAAGAAAAAAGAATGAAGGAAAATGAACAGAGCCTCAGAATCCTTTGCGATACCTTCAAGCATTCCAACATACACATAATGGGAGTTCCAGAAGGAAGGGACAGAGAGATAGGGAGAGAAAGAATCTTTGAAGAAATAATGATCCAGAACACCCAAATTTGATGAAAAACACTAATCTACCTGTCTAAACATCTGAACAAATTCCAAGTGGAATAAACTCAAAGAGATCCACACCAAGACATCATAATAATAAAACTACAGAAAGAGAAAATCTTAAAAGCAGCAAGAGAAAAGCAGTTTGTCACATACACTTGATCCAACAAGGTTAATAGCTAATTTTTCATCAGAATCCATGGAGGACAAAAGGCACTGAGACAACATATTTGAAGTCCTGAAAGGAAAAGACTGTCAGTCAAGAATTCTATATCTAGTAAAATGATCCTTCAAAAATGAAGAAAAGGGCTTCCCTGGTGGCGCTGTGGTTGAGAGTCCGCCTGCCGATGCAGGGGACATGGGTTCGTGCCCCGGTCCGGGAAGATCCCACATGCTGCGGAGCCGTTAGGCCCGTGAGCCATGGCCGCTGAGCCTGCGCGTCCGGAGCCTGTGCTCCGCAACAGGAGAGGCCACAACAGTGAGAGGCCCGCGTACCGCAAAAGAAAAAGAAAAAAAAATGAAGAACAGCTTGAAAATGAAATAAAAAAAAATAATTCCATTTATAATAGAGTAAAGGAATAAATTATTTAGGAAAAAATTAGTAAAAGTAGTGCAGACTTATACTCTGAAAACTACAAAACATTATTTAAAGAAATTAAAGAAGATCTATATAAATGGGAAGACATCCTATGTTCATGTATCAGGAGACTTAGTATTGTTAAAATGGCAATATTCCCCAGATTGATCTACAGATTCTGTGCACTCTCTATCAGAATCTCAGCTAGATTCTTTGTATACTTTAGAACCTGATCCTCAAATTCATATGGAAACTCAAAGGACCCAGAATAGCCAAGACAATCATGGGGAAAAAAAGAATGAAATTAAAAGATTCACATATCCCAGTTTCAAAACTTGCTACAAAGCAACAGTAATCAAGCAGTGTGGTACTAGCATAAGAAAAGACAATCAGTGGAACAGAATTGAGAATCAAGAGATAAACCCTCACATTTATGGGCAAATGACTTTTGACAAGGGTGTCAAAA